CTGCAGAAGAGGTTTCCCTCTCAGAACTAAGGCTGCCTCCTGTGCTGGATAAAAGTCGTTGCAAGAGTCCCTGCTCCATCCTGAGCCACTGCTTTTGTGTAAGGAATGGTCCTTTGATAGTAGCAAAGAAAATACCTGAGCACCACAAAGCCACAAAAAGCAGAATCAGAGATAACCTGCTGCAAGAGCTGCACTAACAAACCCTTTCTTCCCTGCTTTATTTTTAAAATTTCTGTTGTTTTCTCCCTAGGTTGTTGTGGTTTAACCCCATCCAGCCCCCAGCCCCTCACAGCTGCTCACTCCCTCCCCACCAGTGGGGTCAGGGAGGGAATCATGGGGGTAAAAGCTGGAAAAGCCCTGGGCTGAGCTAAAGACAATTTAATAGGGAAGGCAAAAGCCATGCACACAAGCACAGCAGAACATGGACTACCCAGGGGCAGGCAGGTGTTCAGGTATCTCCAGGAGAGCAGGGCCGCATCCATGGAATGGTTACCTAGGATCACAAACATTGTTATGGTCTGACCAAGCAGAGGAGCCTCACATTCTAAAACCACTCTGCTCTCTGGAGAACTGATTTATAATTTTTGACCTGTCTTAGATGGCAATATTGAGAGTCAGTCCCAAGGACCGTTTTCACCATCCCCTAGAACACCTGTGCAGAACAGCTGGGGCAGAAATATCAGGGGGCAGAATTTCTGCTTTGCATACTTGCACCCTCTGTACCTGCCCCTGAATATTAACTGGCATCTCACACCTGTTGTGTGAGCTGGCACAGGCAGGCAACCACAAAGTCATGGCTTGAAAGCAGAGAGTGAAATGATTTGTGTCACCTCATGAGCTGGGGATCCCCAAAGCCACCCTGGGCAGTGCAGACACAGGCACCTTAAAGGCAGTCCATGCCAGCCGGTCACTGGCTGCTACTGCATGGGCAGCCACCACTCCTCCACTTGTAACTCTTTCATCTCCACTTTTAATCCCTTCCTCCACTTCTAACCCATTCCTCTCTACTATGAACCCATTCCTCCACATCTAATCCATTCCTCCAGTTTTTACCCATTCCTCCACTCTTAAGCCATTCCTCCACCTTTAACACATTTCTCCACCTTTAACCCATTTCTCCACTTTTAACCTATTGCTCTCCACTTTTAACCCATTCCTCTACATCTAACCCATTCCTCCACTTTTAACCCATTCCTCCCAACACATGTGCTCCCCACAAAGCAGCTGTGAAATCCTACAAGGATTGCTGCTCTCTGGTTTGGCTTGTGCTCAGGCAGCCCCTGCAGCTGATACAATTCCAATCCATCCACCTCTGGGAGCAGAGAAGCAGAGCAGAAGTTTGTCCCCTATACCTTTGCGTAGCATGACTCCCAAGCTGTTAACCACACGCTGCCCTCAGTTACATCTTGTTTTTCCTGATGTGTTTGGCTGCGTATCCACGTGCCCAACCCTGGCCTCACAGCCACCATGTATTTTGTGCTGTGTGATGTGATTATGACCTAAATGAAGCCTGAAAAACTGCTCTAGACTGAGAAGAAAAAAAAATAGAGGAGCAAGTATGGCTTTGCCAACCCCTTCATCAAGAGCAGAAAAGCAGACTATTAAGTACGTAATATTTTTCTGTCCCTAAACTTTATCATAATTTAAGTTCTCATTGCTAACACTTTACAAGCGACTTGGCATAATTTTCAGAGAGGCAGAGAAAAGAACTAAAGTTTATAATTTAATTTAAAGAAGAGAATTACTCAGTTAATAAAGTACTATATATTAACCTCGTTGTCTGCTTCAGGAGTGTAACCTCTAAAGTTGATTCAAAGGTAACCTGAATCCCCCCTCTGAGGACTATTCATATCCATTAATTGTTGCAATACAAGACACTCCAGGCTCGAGCTGGTTGCCAGTTCTTCAGTATCTGGAATGTACTCTCACCACAGTGGAGGACAGCACTGGGACTCATTTAACTCTGACTTTCACATTAATTTTGCTGTGCTGTGAAGAGCAAAGACAAAATCAATGCCCATCAGTGATTATGCAAGGTAAAATATCTAGTGATATTGAATATCAATGGCAGTGGTGAGCATTAAACTTACTTAAGGATTGTGCAGTTGACAAAGCCATTTATTCCAGTTTCACTTAATTTTCAGCGACACGCAGAAGTTTAGAAAAATACAAAAATTACAATGAAAATACTGGAACTGCAGTTCCTGGCCAGCTGGACTTTAAATTAATTGTATATGTGTGTGATTTTGCAGTGCACAGGTCAGGGGAGGTTTGAATCTCACAAGGACTGAGTCTCTGTTTTGTGGCCTCCATCACAGCTGCATTACTGCTGGCAGTGGATCACTTCTTTGTGGCTTCAGTGCTCAGAGTGTAGGCAGAGAAATGCAGCTAATGTGACTGCTCTCCCACAACACTCTTCTCTTACCTTCCCCAAAACACCACTGAAATCTTCATTGAGGCAATGGGACTCTATCAGATTGCATCATATAACTTAAAACTTTGGAGTTACAGCAACAACAAGCTGAATCAGCACAGAAGTTTCCATTGAGAGCTATTGTGAACATTGTTGTGGTTTTCCCCTGAGATTCTCATAAAATCATTTTTCTTGCTTCCCTGAAATTTCCCAATTATTGTCCCAATAGTATTGCTTATGTGCCACATTCCTCAGAGCTCTTAAATCACAGTATTTACCCTGGTAAAAAATAACTGATAGCCCAGTCCACCTCTCATGTAAGCCACTGTCCTCTAATCTGATCTATTAGGATTAATAGTGTCATTAATATTGAATTTCAATGAAAATTATTTTATTTTATCCCTCTTAATGAAATTTTAAGATAATAAAAACCAGCTCAATGGAAACAATATTTTGAAAAGCAAGTCTTGATGACTATTTATTTATTTATTACTTGTTTTACCCATAGAAAATAAAGGAAGGTGGGCAGCTCTCACACAAGAATTGGTGTGAAAATCAAACATGTTGTTTTTTGGAAAATGTTTAACTAACCCTTCTTAGTAAAGCACAGGTTTTGGAATAAGCTCAGGACAGGAGAACCACAGCAGCCAGCAGTTTTGGTTGTCTCCAGGCCTACACCAGCAGAGATGCTGAGAATCATCTTGCCAAGCTGCCTTTTACTGAGTTCTTCCAGCAGCATCTG